CAGTCCAGTTTCCTCACTCCTCTTTAACCACAGAAGTGGGGAACTCGGAGAAGCCGGCTGTGAGCCACTGGCAGCCAGACCCAGGTGGACACCGGGGCAAGCACGTCGCTGTCCCTGGCGTCCGAGCACAGAGCTTGGCAGGGCTTGGGTCTTGGAAGATGCCCGGTGGATGGACAGATGGTCTGGGCAGCGAGCAGAGGAAGGGTCCATTTGAAAAAGAGAAACTTCCCCTTCTCCCCTTGAGTGCCTTTCGGTCTTGGCGGTTAGTGCTACCACGGAGACCCCCGGCCCATCAATTACAAACATTAGCTGTAAATTACACTTTTGCATAGTTAAGCCAGCCTCTTCATTATGTATTTAGTAGCGCTCAGCATGCGGAAAATCCAACAGCGAGCTTTGGAGCCCAGCCAAGCTCTGTCTGCTGTGGCATTTGGGGAATGGAAAGTTCTTGCAGTGGCCCTCGGAGCGTGTCTGTTTTGGAAGGTCTCCAATGGTTTCTGCATTGAGCTTTTCTCTTGGAGAGAGCCCAACCCTCTGGAAGGGCTGATAGCTTCGAAGGCTGCTCCTGTCCCGCTCCTCAGTGAAGCAGGGACTCCTACCCACTTCTCAACGAGAACATTAATATTCACCTGACGAGCAGGCGGAAAGAAAGGTGTGCGCATCAGGGAACGCAGCTCCTGGCACTCTCCTTCAGTCATCATCCACCCAACACACACCTGCTGTGGCCCTCCTCAGGGTCAGCGGGGAGGGCCGAGTGGGCCGGTGAAGTCCTTGCTTCCGTGAGGCTTACCCCGAACAGGGAAGACGGACGGCAGGCCGCCTGGTGCCTATCGATGTACTGAGTGTCACGTGCTGGCATAAATGATTGATTAGGGCCAATGGCATGAATGGGGGAGCGTGGGTGACAGTGTGGAGGATGAGGGGCTGCGGTGTTTACGTGTGAAGGCAAGCAGAGAGAGAAGTGGGTGAGGAGACCACGGGGCCAAGAGGAACACGCTGGGGGGACGTGGTGGGAGACGAGGGCGGGAGGCCGTCTTACCGTCGGGACCTGGACACGACTCACCCTTGCTGTTGGGTGCCGCCTCCCAGTCGGCCCCAGACCACGGCGACCTCGCGTGCAGAGGAGTGCAGTGCTGCCCGGGCTGCCCCCTCCGTCGTCCGCTGAGGTCACGTAGCACTGCTCCTTGGTGTCTTCAGAAGTCAGCCGCCAGGCCTCTGTTCCTGGTCTGTCTCAGTCGGGAAGCTCTGCTGAGGCCTGTTCACAGCAAGACACGAGCCCCCCTGACAGACAGACGGAATGCTTTGCTGCCGGACAGAGGAGGGGACGGGTCACACCGGGCCCAGGCCCAGTAGACACTGCTCACCTTCTGCTCGCACGCCTGCGGGTCTCTCCAGCCCACACGGGCATACACAGTGTGTGTGTCCCTGTCTCCCATCACATCCTCACTGTTCCTCGAGCCGCCATTGCACCTCGTGGCTGACCCCAGGTCTGCAGTGTTCAGTCTACGGAGGGCTCCCCAGGGCTCCCCAAGATCGGCCCTGGTGGGAGGGTCCCCGCACTGTTGGGCAAACGTTAGGTCTTCTGGTATTTCCTCTTCATTCGTGGGATCCCCACTTTCCCCTGTATTCAGGGATGGCACCTGTGCAACAGTGACATTGACGAAGTTCCCATTTTTCTACTTGGTCTCAGGGTACAAACCACTCCTTCCAGTCGACTGCGACTCACAGCAGCTCCGTGTGTGTCAGGGTCTCAGGGTATAAACCACACCTTCTAGTCAACTCCGACTCACGGCAGTTCTGTGTATGTCAGGGTCTCAGCTCCGTGGGGTCTCAGGGTACAAACCACACCTGCCAGTCGACTCTGACTCACAGCAGCTCCGTGTGTGTCGGGGTCTCAGCTCCGTGGGGTCTCGGGGCTGGCTCTCTAGAAGGAAATCACCAGGCCTTTCTTCCGAGTCACCTGTGAGCCAACTCTAACCTGTAAGCTGTGTGGCAGCAGCATTGAGCGTCTGCTCCCCCCAGGACTCCGAGTGCACCGTCCCTACATTCTCATTACTCCATCCCCTTCTGAGGGAGTGTAGTGCCTAAGGCACTTGACTGTTAACCAGAAGTGCTAACTCCTCGGAAGGAAGTTGGGCAGTCTGCTTCCGTAGTGATACCGTCTCGGAAACCCAAGGAGGGGTCGCTAGGAGTCGAGTCCGACTCAACGGCAGTGAGTTGGGTTTTTGTTTTTATCCCTGTCTGCATGATTCTGAGACCACGTCAGGGCCAGCCTCCGTTCTCTCTCTCAGCTAACTTCAGTCACCTCCTGGAAACCAGGTAAAAATCCCTGCACCCACAGCCTTCAGAGGCAGGGAAGCTTCTCCGGCCCCCGAGCCCCTGGGCTCCTGGGCTAATTCGGTTCCATTCCTGTGTGATCCTGCTGGCAGAGTGGGAGGGAGCCTGTGGTCCCAGGCAGCCCACAGACGGTGCCTCGTCAATCAGAGCCTCGCCGGACACCCTCACTGCACTCCACAGAGCCTAGGTCACTTCTCACAACACAGCCTTGACGGGTTCCCCTCACTGCGCAACCCTCCATCCGGGGCTGAGTCACTCACAGCAACAACAGCCCCTCACAACGAGGAACAAATGCCAGCGATTGCTATTGGTGCTCCCTGGCTCTCTGGGTGGTGGTTTTTGCCACGTCACCAGGAAAGACCAATCACAGGAAAGGACATCATGGTCGGTGAAGTGTAAGGCCAACAGAAGCCAAGAGAAAGTCTCCGTGAGACGGACCGACGGACACGGGGGCCGCAACAATGGGCTCCAGCGTGCCAACAGTCGTGAAGACGCCGCGGGACCAGGCAACACTCGGTTCTGCTGCACAGAAGGCCTCTGAGTCGAGCCGACCCAACACAACAGTATCCTGTGCCTTTTCTCTCTGCCCTTCCTGGTGATTTTGATGCGTTTGTTAACTCTCCTCTTCTGTCAGAATCAAACTGAGGTGTGCTCTGTGGAGTGCAGCCTGGAGCTCGGAGCGATTGGCCTCAGCACCACAAATAGCTCCCGCGGGCCAGCAGGGCCTTAATGCCAACCTGGACTCCCAGGAACTTTCTACAACGTCTTTCTGGGCGTGTGTGTGTGGCATGACTCTGGTATTTCTTTCCAGGCTTCAGGGGAGAAACACATGGCCTTTGCCTTCATGAAGCAGACATAAAATAGAATCAATAAAACAAAGTCTGGGCCGGTGAGTCTGGTCCCCTAGAGCAGTTTCCCTGTTACAAGGTTGATTTCTTCATTTTGTTAGTCTGCAGGCACTAAGCTGTCAGCACTGGCTGGCGACGTTGGAGCTCAAATCCCTTACACCCCACAGAGGGGAGGTGAAGCCCCTTGGTCTTTGTAACACACCCTGCCTCCCTTTTCCTCCCACATCCAGTTCAGCAGCCAAGAGGTTTGGGAAATGCGGCTTCTAGCGGTTCAAGCCTCTCTGTGACTATTGGGGGAACCGATTGGCTTTTCAGTAAGCTCTTTTTGGAGGGGGGGGATGGAAGGCCAATTTTGAAAATTTATTTCAAGAGTCACTGCCAGTAACTCTGCATGATTGATTGGTGAGTCGTGGTCCTC